TGTCTTTGGTGCCTATATGATATAGATGCCACATAAAGGCTCTAAATGAGAGTAAATTAAAACCTATAAGTCCTCTCAGGGGTTTGTGATTCTCTTTGACATGAAAAAGCAGGTCCGTAACCGCAAGGAAGGCAAGTGTCAAATCCTCTTTGTGCCTTTGCACGTTGCAAAGTGCAGGGCTGTGCTGACAGCTTTGTTTCTGCAGATGTAACTCTCAACTTTGTTTTATAAGTGTAACGAACAGTCGGACAACAGGGAAATTTGATATGCTTATATGCTTGTGTATTTGCTTTAAAACAAAACTTTGATTGTTAAAATATGATTTCTAACAGTTCGTTTCTTATATATATATAAATATATATATATATATATATATATATATATATATATATATATATATATATATATATATATATAATTTTTCACAGATTGAACTTCGGATTGTTGCTGAGTGTTCATACTAATATCAAAAATAAGACTGTAACCTTTCTTTTTCCTACTTGCTGTAACACGTACTGCACACTATTTATGAATTTGTTTTTTATTATTAAAGAAAAAAGCTCATTTTTCTGTATTTATATACATTAAGTCATACAGTGCAATGAAATAAACACATAATAATTTAAAAGACCTGTTTGGTTTGGTCTTTTTTGTTAGCCATGCACAGTAAGGGAAGTGTATTCACTTCCTGCCGTGAAAGGTGAGACCGTGATACAGGCTCAGTGGTCTCTGTATTAAAAATGTTGTCGCCCACTCAGTCCAACCACACAGCAGTTACTGGAGGAACTTTTTTTTTTAAATACCACAATGGCCCAAAAAGTAAAGTGTCATCATGTCAGCTGCTTCTCACCTGAATGTATACTGGCAGCAACATTATTTATTTTTTAAAGGTTTAAAGTGGATGTGAAAAATGTCAACGTCTTCATTGTTGGTTTACTTTTCTATTTACTACTTTTTTCAGTAGATTACATAGTTTCTTTTCAAGTCACATCTCGGCACAACGTGCAACCATGACAAGGTCTGTGCGAACGAGAAGCTCTTTGAAGCTTTTTTCTTTTTCCCCTTTTTTGTATGTCCCATGCAGTCACTGTTATACTTTCCCTTCATCTATGTGTGTTCGAAGAAGACACCCACAGAGTTGTATATTTGTAAACTGAAAAGGAAGTGGTAGTGGGGGCTGCCGGGGGGAGGGGGGTGATAGCAGCAGATTGCTTGGCTGACTCACTTTCCAACCCCAGACCCAGAGAGAAATGGCTGGTGAAAATGAAGCAACATGTGTGTGTGTGAGTGTATGTGAATGAATATGTGTATGTGCATGTATGTGTTTCTATGGGTGGGTGTGTAGGCTGAGTGATTTCTCTAATTAATTTTCCCTCAGCCAAGTATGGATTACTCAAATTGGGAAAACACACTTGAGAGCTGAAAGTGTAACTCCAGTCCAGAGTTTAGTTATCCATGAGCTGAATGATGTTTGCTCAAGTCTTCTGGTCTCACATGTGTGAGTCATGATCTTCCAGCGCTGGCTGACCTGTGAAGTGTGAGAGACGACGGTAGCGCAGCAGCGCGAGCTGTATCAGCTGTGTAGTTTCGAGGCCAAGCATGACTTGTATAGAGAATTTGTGTGGGCTGAGAGTACTCTATCACCGGTTATGACATGAACCAAAATCTTTACACTTCCGTATATGAAATCAACATTTTCCATTTATAAAGCAGGTCTGTGTGAGATATTGATCTCTTGAGCACTGCTGATTTTTACAATCAACTCTTGAAATAAGGCAAAAATGGCCTCTTAAATTGAACCTTTTTTTTGGCTAAAATCACACAACATAGTTTATGGAGAATATATTTTTTTATGCAAAGCAAAACTGAAAGAGGAGCACAGCAAACAGTCCGCAGCTAAATGCTGTCCCCTTGTGTTGGTACAAATAACAGTTTGGGCTTCTGTGGGGGCTTTCCCCCCTCTTCAGAACAACTCTAAAACTTTGAGTGGGGTGAACTGTAACTCATCCACTGGAGTTAGGGATCAGTTTTTGTGCCCTTGGTGCTTTTTTAATCTATTATCTGATTAATATTGTGGCTGTCTGTGAGATACAGGCCACCCCACAAGTCTACACTTGAGTTAAAGTCTAGCATTTTATTAGTGCAATACTAATTAACCAATATAAACGCTAGTTAGCTGAAGAATTAGTACTTCATCTATATCAGGTGCCTTCTGGCTTCAAAAAGAGGTGAGCAAAACAATTATATTTTTGTTATTTAGTATCAAATCATAACAATAATCACTTTGGTTTGCTTTATATCACGAGGTAAAGACCCTGCAAAAACACAGAAAACACCAAGCCTTCACTAATGCTGTGTCTGTACAGAGTTCTGAAGCCTGACTAAAACTCTTCAAATAAACCAACAATCAAAGGACCAGCTATGAGCACCTGGCAACAGTGAGAATGACAAACTCCCTTTTAACAGGAAGAAACCTCTGGCAGAACCAGGCTCATGGAGGGTCAGGGACTGGAGGTTGGGGCAGGGAGACAGGACAAAAGAGCTGAAGTAACACTGCATAATGAGAATGACCCAGGAACCTAGGCCTATTGCAACATAATTGAGGACGAACCCAGGATCATCTGATCCAGCCCTAACTATAGGTTTTATCAAAAAGGAAAGTTTTAACCTCAGTCTTGAAAATAGTCTTAAAATGTTGCTAAAATTCAATGTGGGAGCTGGTTTCACAGAAGAGAGGCCTGAAAGTTGTAAGCTCTTCCTCCCATTCTTCTTTTAAATATCCTAGCAACCACAAGTAAGCCAACAGTCTGAGACTGAAGTGCTCTATTGGGGTGATATGGTACTATGAGGTCTTTAAGGTAAGACAGGGCCTGATTTTTCTAGAACTGGTATATGAGGAGAATGAATGATGAAAAGCCAATAATGGAGAAACATGCTCTCTTTCTAGTCCCTGTCAGTACTTTTACTGCAGCATTTTGGATCAACTGAAGGCTTTTCAGGGAGATTTTAGGAGAGCCCCGTCCTAACGAATTACAGTAGTTCAGCCAAGAAGTAATAAATGCATGAACTAGTTTTTTAACATCACTCTAAAATTAGATGTTTCTAATTGTAAAGATATTGCACAAATGCAAAAAAACAGTCCTACATATTAGCTCAATATACACACTGAAGGATGTAAAACGACTCTAAAATTTCTCCCAGTTTTACTGGAGGCCAAGGTAATGCCATTCTAAGTATCCAGTTAGACACCAGTTGCCGTAATTTAGAAGCAGGAAATAAGAGATCATCCAGGTCTTTTTGTCTTTAAGTTGTTCTTGCAATTAACTAATTGGTGAGTGTTATCTGGCTTCATGGGCAGATAAAGTTGGGTGTCATCTGGATAGCAGTGAAAATGTACCCTTTGCTTTTTAATGATAGTGGCTGTATAAAGTCAACAGAACTGATCCTCGCATGGAACCCTGCGGAACTCCATAATTAACCTTAGTGTATGAAGTGTGTGTGAAGAGGACTGTCCCTTTATGCAAACAAATCATATGTTCTTTCCAATTGGAATCCATTAGATAGATATGATTCATTCATGACCTTCAATTATGCTGTTTCTGTACAATGATGAGTTCTGAAACCTCACGAAACTCTTTAAATAAACCATTCCTCTGCAGATGATCAGATCAAAAATCTGCAGTTGATCAGATCAAAAATACCCAACTTTGCAGCTTTAAAACACCATATTTACAGCTTGATTCAAAAATGGTCTAGAACTGTGTGGATAGTGTTAATTAATAACAGCTTTATGGAGATACAGGAGCTGCTGTAACTGACCTGTGTGTGTGTGGGTTAGGCTTCACCTCTGCTATTAAACGTGACCTTTCCACTGTGTTTGTGCTATTGTTGTCTTTAGTAGAATTTTAATTGGATTAGCTGTTAAATAATGATGCCTGTTGTGCGGCGGTAACCATCCAAGAGATCTGTACTTGAATTTTAACAAGAAAAATTCTTCTATTGTTTTAGTCTTTTGCTAAATATCAGAAATTTGTGTCTGCGCATAGCACTCTTGTAGCACAGTAGTGTATATATCCAAAACTGGGTAACCCACACACAATACTCTACATGGCTATTTAACACTACAGGCTGAAGGAAAAATATGTGAGTGAGAAATATTTGAACTTTTAAAGATTTGACATCACTATCATTTTGATTCAAGATGACTGGATTTACAAGCTTACTCATTTCAGACATTTTCTAGTCTGACAAATCTTTTATTGTAAGAGGTGGCATATTGATAAGGGTTACAAGAAGAAACTGGAAGATTGTTATTCAAAAAGTGCATGCTGTAAACATGTTTCTAATGTCTAAGTTCTCTCCATGATGTCTGGGCAAAAATGATGTGTAGAGGTTATACACTTTCTCTGTGTGGATACACCATTTATTATCTTGACATTGGGCAGTGGAAAGCAGTAGGAAGGGAGCAACCAAAATCAACCCATGCAAATGCATCTAAGGCCTCTAATAAAAGAGACAGAGTGGGTGGTAGTTTGCTATGTCTGCTATCAATTTTTACATCCTGGACCTCTTCGCTGCAATCGAAAGCTGTGGTAGCAACAACTAATTGACAGAGCACTGAGAGATATGGGACTCGTTTGTGGCTGAGGTTTGGAAAACAAAAGTTTTCAAATGAAAGCTGGAAAATGTGCCTCTTGACTGTGATGACTAATGTTCCAGTGACCTTTTTTGCTGCTTTACTGTATCTCTGTCACTGCAATTTAGGTCACTGGATGTGACTTTGAATGCTTTGTATGAGAAGCATTTCTTCTGTTTGCTTTGTCAAGAGTCAAGAGGACATATTCTTCGACAGCATATAGACAGGGAGGGTCCCGCTGTATCTTTCTATTAGTGATTATGTGGTAATCCAATGTTAACTCATGACCTCTCACTTTCATATGTAGGGTCTCATAAATGACTCAAACCCAAAAGCCCTTGATCACTGTTATCGTGTCCTTTGATTCATATTGAGTTTGTTTTTGTTTTACAGTCACATCAAATACAATAAAGACAGTGAACATTTTTAACTAAGACGTACTCTTATTTTTTTCATAACAATGGTTAAAGTCAAATTTAAACACAGACATTTAGCAGGTCTCACAGAAATCTTTTCAAATGCATAAGCAGCTTCCTCTTCCACTAAAACATCAAAAAAATTACAAAAAGTGAAAAAACCCAGTATTTCTTTCAAATCTCAAACACATGAAACTTACCGCAACAACCACTGCGACTTGTGTTTTCACGTGTCACAATGTATAGTACATGTAGTCAAGGATGTCTGGAGCTTATCAAGTCATTTCACACTTATCTTTAGACTAAAGAGATGAAATACTCAAGTATGTTATTGGTCAAGTAAATCAAAACTACACCTTTGTTCTTTCCAAATATGAATTACATTCTTTTAACAAACAAAGTCAATTCTCTACATAGATTCCAGTGACTCACTACCAGTTTGTGACTGGTACACCCTGTGAAACATTATCACTGAGAAAATAAACATTCATAGATTATTAGCTGACCTGCCATGGGGTTTTTTGTTACATCCATTATGTGTCTAAATCATATGCTGCACATGGTTTTTGTTGCGAGAAATAAATAAATAAACTTAAATACAGAATTCATACAATGTTAACAAAACAAGAAATGAATCAGAAATTAGAAAGTATAATCTGTGCAAACATCAAAAGCAATCTCCTGCTGAAAAATGTGACACTTCAGCACAATAAATTCTTGAAATCAACTACTAGATATTTTAAACATGCAAAGCTCAAGTGAGATCTGTCAATTCTGAACAACGCTTCAAAGTTTCTGTTTAAAACAGCTATTTGAGAACAATGAAAACAATCCAGCTTTGGTTCTAATCCATTAAATACACAATACATTACATACATTGCGCTGTTTTCAAGTGTGATTTTGTAGTGATGATACAACCTGAGACCAATACCCAGTCTGCTATATCTACTTTACAAAACTGAACATCATTGGATCATTATAAACCCTGTTTAAGGTGAGCTCTTTCTTTTTTTGCAGACCGGAATGTAAAAAGAGACGAGGTTTTCATCCAACCTCTTATTGAATTCAGCTTTTTTTTATGCATCTTTTACAGAAATTGTTTGGTAAATTGCTAATCTGGCGATCAACAGACCATCCATCCAAAGTGAACAAGTACACCCAACAAGATTCAGACTAGGTTTGCTTCAGTGTGGGTTCCAAAGCTGGAAAGGTGTCGTGCACTATGCCAAAAATAATGAACTTACATCTAAAGCCGTGGCATGAAGATGATACCCAGGTGAGTTTTACTCTCATTTTTATCAACACACTTGAGTAATAAGTTACTAATGTTGACTTTCAGTATTGCTCCAGCACCGCACTCCACTACCTTGCTGAGAATACCTGTGGTGTTTGTTTCTTTGTTAATTAAGCCCATTAGGAGAGTTTTTTTTGTGCCGTCCTGTATTTTCACCAGCTCCACAGTGGATCGATTTGCTGTGGAACAGCCTGAAACGCTGGGATCCATTGTAACCTGAAGATTTAGGAAATAGTATCCATCCACGTTCGTGCTCAGGCCATTGTTGACTTTTGAAATCAGGGTTTTATCTGAACGAATTGGACTCCATGTTATATCACTTTCATCTGTGGAGGACATAAAATAGACTGCTATAGATGCTAAATTTGTTTTTTCTATATTCAGTTTTTAAATCAAATTTTTTTCCTGAAGTAAAGTACATTTGACTGTATTCATTTATTTACTGACTGTATGTATTTCATGGGATTACATTTTTTTTCTTCTGACAAAGAAAGTATAAACACAGCAATATTTGAATGGGGATATGATAAATTTTAAGTGCAGATAATAAATTGAAATAAGAAAAACATTACCTTCCTCAAACTTAAAGCTGAGCATTTTTCCTGTAATTGAGGAGAGGCTAGAGGGGGCGGTGGTTGTCTGTTGAAAGAAGAAGAAGGGATTTATCACTCTCAAAATAGTAACAGTAAATGTGGTGCAAACATGACTTCCAGGGACACACACTCAGGCCCAGAGAGGCTGCAGTTTATTCAACGTGAGACAACAGCAGCTTACAGCATAGACTGTGTACTAACTTCAGAAGGAAAATGAAGAGACAACAGTTGAGTTTAGTGGCATTTCCCCGAATGTGGCAATGACGTCACTGAGCTTCCTCCAAGAGGGGAGGAGAGTGGTTAGACATACGTAACTCATAAGAAATGGAATTAATCTGACATACATAGTGCAGCATCTATCTCGCTTACTAAACATGTGTACTTATAGTAAATACATGTAACATCAGCAGGACGTCTTTGTGGCATGAAATAAAGGAAAATGGACAGAGGGTGAATGTTTAACACAAAAGTCAGGAGAGAAACACAAACTCTGAATAAATCTTAGAAATGATGGATAGCTTACCCATCTCTTTTCCGTGGAGGAAATTTTGGATGATTCTACAGCACTATTTTCCTAAGATTGGAAAAGGAAACAAAAGTGCTTATACTAAATACTGTAAGAGGATTTCGGGGTGGAAACTGACTGAAACTCTGAAATTTAGGTGCAATTGTGAGTTTTAACATAGTTCTACAAAAGAACTAGCTGTCATCCAATTTCTTTTAGGCAATCATGATGCCTTTTTCCACTGTTTAAACATTTAAATATGTTTCTTTTCTATAAAACTACAGATGACTTATATTTTCTCCCAGTAATAAACTTGCGTTTGAATGAAGTAAGGCATCCCTGGTGCTGTATTACTGTATCTTATTTTATTCTATGGGAAACCAACTAAACCTGAACCTGAACATTATGAGAAAGCTGTCACTGGGTGTTATGACGGGGGTCTGTAACCAAATGTAGACCACAGGCATAGGTGTCTTTCTCACCAGCTATGCTACAAAAACCACAAAAAAGAACAGCTGTACGGCACAGATGTTGATTATTTTCTGCCCTTCGTGTAATTTATTCAAAAAATGATCATACTATTGTAATGTTTTAACCCTCCTGTTATGTTGCAGGTCAGATTGACCCAGAACAGAAGAGATGTCACATGTCATCTGCATCACTACAGAAAATGAAAAAAAAAATCACAATTATAAAAGAAAATTGTAAAATAATCAATGCCAGTGTTTCTGACACTTTTGGATGAGTAAATTTGCCCAAATGAACCCAGGAGCATAATTGGTGTTCCTGGAAACCAACATAACAGGAGGGTTAACATAGTTCTACAAAAGCACCAGATGTCATCCAATTTCTTTTAGGCAATCATTTGTCAATAAGATGCCTTCTTCACTGTTTAAACATTTAAATATGTTTATTTTCTATAAAACTTCAAATGACTTATATTTTCTCCCAGTAATAAACTTGTGTTTTGAATGAAGTAAGGCATCCCTGGTGCTGTATTACTGTATCTTATTTTATTCTGTGGGAAACCAACTTAACTCAAAAACACTGAACATTATGAGAAAGCTGTGACTGGGTGTTATGACGGGGGTCTGTAACCAAATGTAGACCACAGGCATAGGTGTCTTTCTCACCAGTTACCAGCTACTACCAAAACCACAAATAAGAGCAGATGTACGGCACAGATGTTGACTTTTTCTGAAGTTCATGTTATTATTCAAAAAAATGTTCATGCTACACTAACGGTTTTAAAAAGAAGTTACCTTTTTTTGTCTAATCGCTAATCACTATAGTTAAAGTATTATTCAAAGAGTTCTCACCAAGCCTTTATGTCCTGCTGTGAAGTATAGAACGAAGAACACAATTAGGAATATGGTGATTACGGTGTTCCACAACACGAGGATACGGATCAGTAAATTCTGGGTAGGCTCCGGCATCGTCAGTCAAACAGCAGGGTTCGGAGCGCTCTTAGCCCGGGGAACGCAGGAAGATAGATGTTAAGAAACGACGACTGTACAAGTCCTGAGTTTCCTCTGCTGTGCACTGATGTGTTACTTCGCTTCCTGAGCTCACTGTGTGGCCTAAGTATCTGAAGTATCCAAATGGTACTTTCCCCTGTATGCTACTGAAGGGAGACACAGCCAGATTATATCTATATCTCTAAAGGGACTGGCCCTTTTCTCCTACTCACCACAAGTCACACAGACAGGAACAATACTGACAGCTGGGAGAAAAGGAAGGAGTGAAACTTTGACATAAATATATGTTGAAATGTGTTCTTAACTTCCTTATTTATGAAGAGACTGTTAAAGTGAAAATTTTAGGATATTTTCGTGGTTATTACAACACTGAAAATCATTACTTTGCTGATTTTTTTCTATGTGTATTTCTCCACTAATATTAAAATGGAAGGGTAAAGATGTGTACCAACATGACAATATGCCTCTGTTACAGTTTATCCTTAAAAATATTTGTTTGGAACTGACGCAAGCATCATAACCAGAGATAAAAATAGTAAACTGAATATAAAAGAAAGAACTGTCGCAACATAATTCAACCACATATTGTTGACTTATCAACAACTTATCTTAAGTCTGATCTTATAACAGAATGTCACTGCAAAATTTAGCAGTGGAACTCTAAAAATGTTGTGATGAGCTGTTTACTATTTGCGCTTTTTAAAAATTCCCACCTGCAACTAAATTCTGCTTGTGGTCAGTAAATGTGGTTTCACTTTCTCTGTTTGTACTTTGACAGGGGAAAGTTTCATGGCAGCAAAAACAGGATGGGCTTTGGTTCAGGTATGCGTCATCAAACTCAATCACTCAGAAAAAATGATGCATGCGGTGTTTATGACTGGGAATGGTCAAGTAACAGAGCTGTAAACAACATGCCCAGACTTGTTACATGGATACATTTTAGTTAAATGAAATTATGAGAAGCAAAAAAGGAACAAGAGATTGTTATGTTTTTTTTCTTTTGATAAGATGGGGAAAGCCGATGAGCAATTGTTTTTTTTTTAGGAGTCAGCAGTATCGAGTCATGTGCATGTTTAAAGGACAGTGAGAAACCCCTGCTGTCTCTCATTGTGTGATGAATATGATGACATGAAAGCAATGATTCTTTCTGCAATGCAACTAGCTTACTTCTGCATTGTTGATGATTCACTATTTTCCAAAACATAAGCCAAAACAAAGTGCGCAACTCATGATAAATCACAGTACAACTTCTGAGGCACATACAATCTATGTCACATTCTGATCTTATCAATGCTATGTTTGTGGGAGCTGGGCTAACAGAGCACATGGATTTTCTTGTACAAGAATTGCAGCTTCCACATTTTATAGCCACAAAGGAGACAAAGTGATTTTTTTTGTTTGTTTCTTCTATTTGAGTGTCTTTGATTTAGTGTGATTTTAGAATTGTATAGCAATTTTAACCCTTCTGGAACAAAAGTGTTATCCAGTGCCCTTTGTAGTGGACAGCAGGTCTTACTGCCTCACATCCTGAACTTATTTTAATATTTCAGGAAGCAAAGGGCAGGACGAGGAGAAAAGGACATTTACTCAGAACTGTGAAAGGAGAGTCAGACTTACAGCTGTCAGGAGATGAGGTGGAGCAAGGCCAGCCATTAGAGCAGGAAGGTGAAAGCTCAGAGGAAGACATACCAGCCTTTGAGGAGTCTGAGTCAGGGCAAAATAATGGCACTCCAGAAATATTGTGCGAGGGCTTTGAAGTTGTCTGGTGTGGTTTCTCAACTGCCACATTGGATTTGAAATCTTTAGGCATTCTGATTTCTAGAAAACACACACACACTTAAAGTTTCACTTCTGTAATGAATTACATTTATGAGGAAAAAAGCATTAAAGTCTATGTGTCTTGTCTTTATCAGTTGAATTCAGCTTAAACAATACATGAAAGGCAAAAACATTCTTCAGCATATCTGTGTTCACGGCATGACTGAGATAACACAGGATTTGAATTTACTGTTTCCTGTTTTCAGCTAATAGAAACTAATAAGACAGATTCTTTAAGATTAGGCAGTCCATCAAAACAACAAATGTTCTTGGTGTTAATGATAAGAGACATCTTGAAGAGCTCTCTTAACTGAATACAGCAAGACAGCTTAAATCTGCTGAGCCCACAACTTCATAGCCCTAGCTTACAAGTAATAGACTTTGTGTCATTATTTTGCCGTCCACTGTTTACATATCCTTCTCTGAACTTTCACCTTCTTGCTGTAAGATCAGACCCCACTCCACCTGCATCTCCTGACAGCACTAAGTATGAAACTGACTAAGTAAGACTCTCCTTCCAGTTCCAACATTTGCTGTAGCATGTGACTGTCAAATCTAAATATCACAAAATTTTATTCTGGGTCTCAGGAGGATTTATGATGACTTACAGCCATCTAGTGGCCATAAATCAAAAATGCACAAAACTGAGACCATCAGCAAAAAGGAAAGAAAAAGTTAAACGACTAACAAAAGCTCGTACTTAGTTTCATTAGTAGTTATGATTATTGTCCTACAGTAAATGCAAAGCTGTGATACTGTGTTCCAGACAACTGAAGATGGGGTTTTACTACTTTTACTGCATCACTGTAGAATTTCCCACAGAAAATACACAATTCAACATAGAGAAACAGTTTCCTTTTGCTTTCTTTCATTTCTCTCTGAATACTCCATTTCTTCCGAGTTCAAAAATATGGTTGTGGTTGAAAGATTGTTGTTGTGGTTGAAAGATTGGCTGTGCAGTATTGTATTGAATTCTTTGTATTTTACTTCCAAGGATCCAGATTTACTTCTAATTTGTAGAAGGTTAGTCATGGGAAATATTTCTTCAGGCTTTTAGGGTTCATTTCATTTATTTTCAGCCCAGTCCTTCTATATGACAGGATCTTAAATTAAATCTTTCTTTTACTTTCTCCCCCATTTTTTCTTTAATTGAATCTCTGACACAGACAATTGATAACACAGTTTGATAGGCATAAAATGTGTTTTTACACTAACAAACAGCTATTGTGCAAAAACATGGAATATTTTGCCATGGTGTGCAGTAAATGGTAAATGGACTGGTTGCTCACATTTATACACCAATGAACGCATCAAAGAGCAACTTTGGCTACAGTTTGGCATGCAGACTGCCAAAGATCAGACCACCAACCGTCCAGTCAGGAAGTTCTGCCTCCAACAGTCACCCTGCTACCTTAAAACATCTGAGGAAAGTGGCAGGCCTAAAAAAAACTATCTAAAGCAGATGAACAATGGAAGTCAAGAAGGGAGAGAAGACTGAGGTATACAAAAATACACAAAACTGCACTGAAAATCAGCAGCAGCAGGTCTTATGGAGCGATGAACCCAAATTTGTAATTTTTGTGCAAGTTGTCATTATTGTGTACAGAGGAGGTCAGGAGAGAGGTTTAGTAGTGAGTATCAGCTATCTGTAAAACATGGTGGAGGCTCTGTCATGATTTGGGGCTACATTTTAGCAAGTAACGGCGTTACTAACGGCATTACTTTTTTCAGTAACGAGTAATCTAACTAATTACTATTTCTATCATTACAACGCCGTTACCGTTACTAACAAGAAAATGCTGTGTGGTCGCGTTACTATTTTTCAACAAACAGAAGGTTGAAGCTGTCTTCAGCTTACTGCATCTTATATCAGTTGCACGGAAGTAGCTTCTGGCACAACACCTGGAGCCAATGAGTGCTGCTGTTTGACTGAGGGAGAATAAAGTAGTCGTGGTAAGGCAATCACAGACACTTAAAGACAAGCAACAAGGTGATAGATACCAGTTATAATTGTGTTGATAGGCCACGCAAAACCAGAGTCATGATAAACAATACATACGCGTGTTTTTTCCTGAATAGTTTCATCACGTTTACTGTCTAAGGAAAAGCGCAAGCAAGCACTCTCTGCTTATGACCAAAAAAACCCCCCAAAAACCAAAACAAAAAACAGCCCTTTCGTGTTGGTGGAAAAATGCACCATTCCGACAATCAAAAATGATATGACAACATGACATTTAGTTGTTTAGGAAGAGGGGGAAGGTTTAGGAGTGATAGCAGAAGAGAAGTGAGATGGTGACGTTTTAGCGTGTTTGGAGCGTGTAGTTAATGTGTTGGCTTGTGTAGTTAGTGTGTAGTGTTGTGGATAGTTTTGTGTTGTGTGTCAGAACAATGAGGCGACTGCTGTCTCCAGGTAGAAAACAGGAGTGATACACCTGCTGTCAGACCCGCAGGTATCAGGCTGTGCTGTTCTCCTTTATAGTGGACAGAAATTTTTGGAGTGGCACAAATAATTTGTGTGGCATCTTATTGAATGCAGTTTGAAATGGTTATAAAAAATGGTAAAAGGTAAATGGCTGCAAATAACTTTGTTGTTTGTAAAACTTGAACAATTTATATTTGTATTTAAAGTGATGAAATATGATTCATTAAACATGTTTGTGGTTGTTACAGTAAAAAATATAACTTTTTTCTACTCAAATGTTATGTTTTTTGTCTGATTTTAGATCAATTGTGTTAATACAGTATGTCAAAATGAAAACATAACTGTAAATTCAGACATGGGAGGTTGTGCTGATGATACCAAACAAGGCAAAGTAAATAGTTTTTAAAGGTGAAATGTAGAGGAAACATCAAAAGTAGTTAAAAATAGCCAATTATACCCTGGACCCCAGAGGGTTAAACATTTTTTTTTAAAGTAATGCAATAGTTACTTTTCAAATAATTAATTACTTTAGAATCTTGTAACTCAGTTACTAACTCAGTTACTTTTTTGAAGAAGTAACTAGTAACTATAATTAATTACTTTTTCAAAGTGACTTTCCCAACACTGGTGCTGTCAGGGATCTTCTCAAAACTGATGGAATTGCAGAAAAGTGCCATCAGAGTTTTAATCCAGCAGATAAAAAACTATCTGGAAAGTCTCAGATTAGCAACCACTTCATTTTTTTAGCATGATTGCAAACACACTGTCAGTGCAGTAAAGGCACTCATAGATAGAAAACTACACAATT